GTAGCGGTGTGACACTTAAATAGGCTATAAGTAAAAAAAAAAAAAAAAAAACTCATTTCTTTTCATATTTATGTTTAATAATATAATGTTGTTATTTTTTTTATTTCATCTATGTTGATTATATGAAAAGGAAACTGCATGAGATGAATAAGATAGGATCATAAGATGCCCAATATCGGAAAACATTTGGAATGGGTCAGACATGATTTTTGACCACTTATTACGTTTTGTTTTGTAGAAAGCCTTTCTTTAAAGTGAATTTCGTTTCGCATAAATTGTATCTTCATTTTAATCAATGTTTCATCAACGAATTGCCTGGATTAATAAATAAGAAGGATATATATTAGACAATATAAGCCGGCGCGTGAACTGGAGCGCGTCTCCTAAAATAAACGAAACTCAGCGTATAAGATAGATGCCTTAAATATCTGAGAAGTGTATATATATAGAAAGCTTGAAATGTCTACTTTTAAACAAAACAATTAAAAACTAAAAGAAATGGCCTGCTCTCTGTAGGCTAATTCATATGAAGTGTGCATTTCTCTCTATGCGCGTTCACTACTGCGAAGATGCGAGCAGCCACTGACATAGAAAGTTTTTTATTAATAAACAATTCAAATGTTTCATGCATAATAATTACTTTTGCCGGTTCTTTGTGGCAAGCTTTATGTGTGCTTTGAGATGCAGAATAGGCAATATATTACGAAAACGCTCATTATGGTTTAGCATTCTCTCCTATATATATTTAAGTAATTTAATAAAAAAATATGTGATTAGACTAATGGCTTAAATCAACTACTACTAGTCAACTAGAAAAAAATTTGTTTAAGTCATGCACGGGCAGCCCTACTTCACATGTTTTCTAACCAGCATGTCACTGCGGGCATTCTGAGCGCGCGACGCTGAGTGGACTGAGCGAGCGGCGCGTGATCTTCAGAAATGCGCTCTCTGCTCTGGAGGAAATATTACCACTCCGCTCACATGCTCTTTTGTGAGACAATGTGCATCTTCTCCTGTTGTCTGAGAGTTGATTGACAGCTTTTAGATGCATTATTGGCATCGCCACCCTCTGGTTGAACGTGTCACCACCGCATCAGAACGGAAAACATGGGGATTTTTTATAGACAATAATCCCACAACCTATTCCATATTCTATAATAAAATCAAATAATTGAATATTCGAAAATTGTGACTCATCCCTGCACAAACCAACAGTTTGGTGATGCCTTCTGAGCCTTATGTCATAATTTTTAATTAGTCACGCGGTAATACCGTATACCGCGGTAAAATAGGGAGGAGGTTTGACGGTATCAAAATTTGGATACCGCCCAAGCCTATAAAGTTGTAAAAAAAAACATTGGTATGCAATGTTTTCACAATTCAACAAATTAAGTGGGTTAGATTGGCCCCCATTCATTTCCATTGGAAGTACTTCATTGCAACCCAGATTGAGAGGCAACCAGAAATTGTTCTTTGTGGAAATCAAATGCTGTTGATTGAGCTTAACTTGTACTGAACCCGGAATACTCCTTCAAGCATCCAATTACAAAATATCATCTTCCTCTCCTCTTTAGGCAAGCAAAATAATACAGCATTTAGCAAAAATCTGCATAAATAGAATTCAATTACATTAAGTGATCGTACATGAACAAGTACACATGGGATGTTCAGTAGCTGATGAACGGTGGGAAGGTGCCCATAAGAGATTCAGTCAAGTAAAACTACTGCAGCCTGACAGTAAGTCTAGCACCATTCTCACCAGACACAATGTGATGTTCCTTTTCAAAAAGTGAAAAGGAATCCCGAAAAAGCTAAAGATTTTTCAGGATTAACATACAATTTAGAGCTAAAGCCTTTATTTCAAAATGTTTCATCGACTGCAGGCCAATGAGGTGTCCCTGCGTGCACATTATTATTTAATCGTATCTTAATGACAAAGTTGAGGCAATATATTGAAAGCTAGGATCAGGGTACCAGGCCTGCTTTTGTGCTATGAGCATGCTATAAGAGCTATGTTCGTATTTGGAAAAAAGTAAAAAAAAAGAAAGAAACCTTTTGTCTTTGAAAGCTTTTGTGTGAGAAGTAAAGAACTTGACTGCATGCTATGAGAGCTGGGTGTCGAGTGGCTGGTGGTCCAAATACACTACCTCCAATTTTCATACTATTTAAAAAAAGCTATTCTTCAACCCAAAAAGATGCAATTTCACCCTCAGTAGTAAGATATTTTGAGTTCAGCTGGATATGCCAACCACTTCATTTAAGATACCAATTACAGGGTATTCTGCTATGCGCTTGTGCAGGCTGTCTTAGTTTTTCTCTTTTCCAAATTCTGACAGCCAATTTTAGTTGGCTTCATATTATTTCCAGCTATATTTTATATTCTGCACTCTGAATTCACAAAGCAGGCAACATTTGTCATGTCACAAATTAAGCCGAAAGCAGTTTGTCTTGACTGTACTGAATGTATTCACCACCAAAGCTTAATGTACTTCAAAAGGTGAAATAATTATTCAATAGATGAAATAAATAAATCAACTTCATCAAAAGACTTTCACACAGTCACAGGAGGAATCTTCCAAAACCTCCATTAAGTTAATATACCTAAGTCAGAATTTAATCCACTTAAACATGGAGTAATTAGCCTGAATAATTAAAATGATTAATAAATAATTGAAACGGCCCCTCAAAAATAATTTTCTGACAGAATCTTAATTGGAGAGGAGAACAAGCCGTCGGAGAGTTTCCACATTGGTTTTCTTGCCTAATAGGTGTGTAACGATACACATATTATATATATATATATATATATACACACACATATATATATATATAAAACTAGTTCACTCATTTGTTAGGGTTATGAGAATCCGTTTTTGTTTGGCTAATTAAGATTTTCAAATGTGTCCAAAATATATGCACTAAGTATTAAATTCAAAGTGCATTCTTGTTCGCAACCCATTTCACTTCAGTTATGTGAAAAATAGGGGTGGGGCTTGATTTTATCTATTTAAAACTTGGATGGACTGAATGTGAGTTTGCTAAAACAATGACTAATAATTAGCCATTAGGTTGTTGGCCAACATTATCCAATAGGTTGTGTGGTGATAAAAATCCAAACATAAGTTATTTTAGAGGAAGAGTCACTTATTCAATTTAAATTCAAACTCAAGAAGAACATTTTGATAACAAGCAAAGATTAACCGTTCACAATAAGGAACATGAAAGAAAAAAAGTAAATAGGGTCAACGTTGATTTAACATTGAGTATGTTTACATGCACATTCTTAACCTGATTATGCTTAATAAGCCAAATTGCACATGGTTATGTAAACGCATTAACCTGCTTACTTCTTTATCGGAGTAAGGTCATAAATGGCTTAAGCATATACCGATCAACAAAGCTAGATTTTTGCCCCATACCCTGATTTCTCCTAGTATTTAAACGCATTAACCTGAGTTCTTTCGGCTTATGAACTGCGCTTGTTTGATATGTGAGAGAAAAGCCTCCTTACATGTGGATTTAGATCACACACACAAAAAAAAGAAAATTTAGGCTTTTATTGACATATAATCATTCCTCGGCGGACATAAACAGAAGCTCAACCGAACCTGCTTGACATGGAAGAACAAACCGGGTTCTTGTGGAAGCTCATTCGTTCTGCGTAACACACGAGATCGAAGCTTATTAGTTATCCCACATCAAGCAAGCATGCTTGAGCTTCCGTTTACCACAACTGATGTGTGCGTTGATGAGTGATCGGATGTGAATAAAAGCCTAAATTAAATCTGTTAATTTGGACTAAACCGCTCAATTCATTTGGATTAGTTTTAATGAACTTTTTGATGCTTCAAAGTTGTAGTTGCGTAATTTGTCAATGGAGGGACAGAAATTGCTCAGATTTCATAAAAAATATCTTCATTTGCACAAACAGAATTTTCAGACTCTTTCTTGACCCAAGTAAATATAAAAATGCGTTCTCATCTCATGCAGCCGAAGTAGAAGTGGTTCAATCAAAATTCTGCATGTGTAACTGCATGAGAGGACAATATATGAGTCTGTAAGTTTTCCACTGGAATACTCTTCAGTTTTTAATGATTTATTTAACATCATAACTGACATAACATGTGGAATTCTAGTCAGATTCACCTTCAGCCTTTTCTTTTCAATGTACCGCTTAGTTTCAAAATTGTTCAGCGCCTTGGTTAAAGGCGCTATACAAATATCAATAAATCAAAATAAGCTGATTTTTGGGAGTTATCAGCATATCGATGTGCATGTAAACAAGCTCACTGACTTTAAAAAGGCAGAGAAGATAAAACAGAGAGCATCCATTTGATTGAACAGCTGTAGATAAGTGAGATCATTTCTTTTATCACAATGCCAACTCAGCTTTGACCTTCTGCAGTAATACAGACCGCTTCTCTATTAAAGTCTGATTATATTACCTGTAGCCAAAGGAGCTGCTAACACAAGCACCTTTGAGCTGACCTGAGATAAAATTTATAGTGGGACTTCACCTCACACAGAGTCTGAGGAGTGAGATGGATTTTTCACATCTCAGCGCTCTCTGTAGGTTCTTGGCATCATCTGACTAACTCTTGTGCCATCCTAATTACAGATGACTGCTGGGCAATAGCCAACACATGATTTACACTAGCATGATAATTAATGTGGCTTTATGCTGCCTGCTTGAGTACTCAATACTGCTCCACACACAAATAAACATGCATTCAGTCCAAATACTGGCTTTTTTTAAGGGATACATGAATGGATACATACTCTCTAGTTCAAAATGCTTACAAATTCTCAATGCTAACAAATTCTCAATTCTCAATACAGATACTGTATCACAAAGCACAAAATCATAACCATATTCACTTCAAAGTACTTCAAAGACCACAATGGTAAAATACTGGTACCTTTTGGTCCTTTTTTAAATATATTTGCTTTGTGAGTGTCTAAAAAGGGTGGGAAGAGAGAGAAGTGGGGATTGTACATACCTTTAATCCGTAAACTCTCTGAGATCCCATCCTGCTGGAACAAGAACACAGAGAAAAACAAAACTTACAATCCATTCACAGTAAAGAATGTCATTTGAGTCCCGATCACAGACATCCACACACTTGATATTTAATGTTTTACACACCCCACATACATCTGATTCCTGTTACATAAAATTTCATTATAAAAATGTGACTTTATTTAATATCGACTGCTGCTCCTTTCTTTCTTTAAAAGTATGTTATACATAATTCCCATGGCATATTTCCATAGAAAGCCTAATATTCTTTTAAAATGTTGGTGCCTGAAGTATTTGTCAGTATGAGTTAAATGATTCATTTATTCAGACCAGCCAGGGTACGGCAGTCTCTCAACGAGTCTATTTCTAAAGGTTAAAGAATGCCATATTCCACCGTTAGAGACAAATGGGAAATGCTAATGTAAGCTATCATTTTGCTTCTAAGGAAGACATACAACAGTGTAATAAGATGAAAAAGAAAAGAAAAGGGGTATCAAAATTCTAAACCAGAAGCTTTAGCCGACCCAAAATTAAAACTTGGTCATCATTTACTCCATTTCATTTTCTTGTAAAATACAACATGAGATTAAAATATACAAGCTGTTCCTTTCAATACAATGACAGTTGGTGTGCATATAAAGTATTTTATACTGCCACTAACATCGTGTCTACATCGGACGCGACCGTTGTTGCTCACGTTGCGCTGCAACAGCTAAAGGTTGTCTACACTGGACGCGACAAATTTGTCCTTCATGTCAGTACGTCATACACAGAACGAGGCATTCTGTCGAAGATTGTCGCGCCGCATCCAGTGTAGACAGAATCACTGTTTATATTAAGTTTTATTGTTTTTGTGTTTCGGGAATAAATAGTGAACTATTGCTTCATGAATTACAGTGTGCGAGTATGTATGAGGAAAAATGGTGACTACATAAACTTTTGTTGTATAGTCGAGCATTAAAATCAGTAATCAGTAAATATATCAGTAATCGGTCTCGATATAAATAGATCAACGAGATGAGTTGGATATCTAGAGGGATTATTCATATAAGATGGATAATTGGTGAGGATTTTCATTTCAAATGATTACCATGAGGAAGCTTTCTCACTGTTTTCCAAGCACTTTGGAGCCATTTGTCCAATCTGTCCAAAATGAAACATGTTGCTAGCCCCTCCCATTCCTGTGCCAGTCACAAAGACAGTTTCACAACAGCACCTTCTTAACTCGAGCATAAACACCTTCGGCTACGCACTTATAATGGTGTACTTGAATGGTTCCTGTCCCCAACACTTCTCTCCAGATTTGTCTCTTTTATTTACCATTTTATTTCTGACTTTGCAGTTCTTATTTAAAATGAAAGTATACAGTGGTTATTTCTTGATTCAATGTATCGAGGAAGAAGTATAATTGCCCTGAACTGTTATTCATTTCATGTTATCTTAAAAGTCACATTCCCGTAATAGTCGAGAGAGCATTTAGCTCACGGTAACAGCTCATTCATTCCGCTGTGACTCTCTGAAGACTTTTGAGGCTTGGTGAATAGATTACCTTCCTGGAATCAATTGTACATCAATTACGCAACTGAACTACAGAAATGAAATCACAGCTATAATAAGATCCTACAAGACCCCGCCCTACTTGCTTTATCTTACGTGTGCTCCATCTGTCACTCAAAAATCTCGTTTTTTGATTGGTCTAAATGTGGGGTGGGGCCAAATTTGGGCCATAATCTGAGTGGAGGTAGAGGAAGGATGGGGCTACTGTGAATTAAACCTTTGGCTTTGACAGGAGATTGGCTTTTGCAGAGCAGGACAAAGCTTCATACTATAAGCTGAATTACTCATGATGATTGAAGCAGGCCGAGTTGAGGGAAAGCTAATGGGGTCACCGCTTATCTCTGTGCCCGTGCCAGAAAAAACAGGCTCAACCCTGCAGCCCTCGTCCAACACCCCCCCCCCCCCCCATTTGAAACGCTACATCAGTTGCCTTACCCTAGCCAGCAATCTTTATGATTTCATATTACTGAAAAACTCCACTCATAGGACACAATATGACCCTTGATATAAGATTCATATATAACATAACCGCTAAACATAATTATAATTACTAATATTGTTTCTGGTTTGTGCCATCAAATACATTCTTATCTGAGACTGGAGTTTGTTTGTTTGTTTGTTTTGCACTTAATGGATTTTCCACACACTGTGGTCTGATAAGGAAGTTATTGTGAGAAAAATGGCAACTACGTGTTCCCACAGTTCCCACATTTCAACTATGTATGCCTTCTGATATATATGAGAGCATTAGCAATTAATAGTGAAAGAGAAGAGCGAAGGGCATCTTCATTCATAATATCCAGCTTTATTAAATGCATGTCATAAGAGGGTTGTGAGCATTAGCAAACAACACTGATACTTGAGTGGAGTGGGATATTCAAGGTTACCTTCAGATAATTAATGACAGTGTCATAAGGTTAAATGTGCACTTCAAACACATTTATAACTACAACAGTAGTATTGATCTTCCACTTTTATTAGTGGGTCACATTAAGACATGTGGTTCATGTTTAATGTCAATTGCTCCTCACTGCTCATAATAATAATAATAATAATAATAATTTATTATTATTAATAATAGTAGTAGTACTAGTAGTAGTATCCTAATATCTCAGATACCCAAAATATTAAATAATAATAATATCATCATCAACATCTTCTTCTTACTATCTCAATTTCTGCAAAACAAATGTAAAGCCTGTTAACTCCTGTTCTTTTCCTCCAAGTCATTGTAAATATAAACCAGACTTAAATTGCACTCCACATAAGATAATTAATTGAACTGGCTGACATGATATCGATGCTCTAGAATCAGTTCCTTACAAGAAATACAAATTCACAGGAAGCTCTTCCTCTATGAAACGCTGCATATCTGCCTATGCCATCTGTCAAATTCTAATGAAATAATATTTAATACCAAACCTCACGCATAAATTTAATATTTTGATAGCATGACAATACTAAAAGCTGTTTGAAACGGTAACACATGAGAAATTTTCTAAAAGCTTGGGTGTGTTTTTACTCTCAGGCTGTTTTTTTCCACATTTGGTTGTGAAAAATCTCAAATCATCAAATCTCACAATTTGCTTGGTTCTTTCCACATTGTACATTGACAGTGGCTTGACTGCATCATCTCTAACAGTAATTCCCTAATGGCAGCTGTTTACTGTAGGTAATGACTCAGCAGGAGAAGAGACCAGTTTCTACGTGTTATTGAAGTACTTGTCCCTTTAGATATACCAGCAAAACTTAACACGCACACAACACCCCTTCAGTTTGTCTGTTTGTCAGCTGCAGACGTATTGCAAGAGATGAAAATAATGAAAGATCATTTCTTTGAAGACAAGAAGCTATGAGAAATGCATTATAGTGTAATAATGAGTGTGACAGGGAGCATGCAAAGATGTCAAATTTACATAATCAATAACGATGTATTTACTCAATTTACTCCAGACCACATTTCCAAGCAGAGCTCTCTCGTGTCAAACGTCGAACAGACTTTGTACCAAAGGTTTAGTATGAAAACACCCCAAGAGTTTCAGGTAACTGTAAATGTCTTAAAGGGACAATTTGTGTGACCTCCCTGCCCAAATGTTTATTGTTGATATAAAAGGAAAGTGTTCCCACGAGTCCCTGTTCTGTAAGTCAGTGCCCTCCCTCAGTCGGAGTTTAATTGATCTGTTACATAATATGAACGTTTGCTCATGGAGGTGATGAAGTAAAAAGAGAAGAGGGAACCAGTGGAGCTTGTTAGTGCTGCATTACACCTCAATTGCTGGTATCTGACTGTGTGTGTCCACAAAGCTCGCTGCAACAGCCAGTCAATAAACATTCAATTACACAATCACGCTGTGCTGTTTCATCATGATGTCAGCGCAGCAGGAGTTTTCGCCTGCAGTTCGAAATGTCCAGTGGCATAGATCCAACACTTTTTAGTTTGAATATTATTATGCATATCTGATATTTGGTTCACGAGCAAAACAACAATAATGAATCGTCATGTGACAATAATCAAACCAGAAGCGCTCGATGCCATGCGGATTTCCATAGTAATTAGCATCGTAACCGGCCACACAGGAGTCTCCTCTTGTAAAGGGATGGCTAATGAAATAGGAAAGATCGATACCTTGTGACGGAATCTGACGAGAGGTCGATACGCCAGCGGGCTAAATCCTTCTTTGCCTGGACGTGCCTCTGCGATCAGCGCTGCCCCCCAGAGCAGGACAGCTGCCCACCATCTTTTGGAGCTTCTCATAACCCTCCTGTAATAAAACAAAAGACATGAATACACAAATGAACAACGAACTGTCTAGGTTAAGTCAAGCGGAGCATTTGAAGCCTTTTGAAACAAACAATGCATCACAGCTCAGCTAATTAGAGCAGACAAAGGAGGATGCCAATCTACTGTGGGTTTAAAACTAATGCTTTCAATAAGAAGCCCACACTCAATGGCAAGATTAAATCTACTTTGAATCAATTAAGGAATAATGAGCACCATGAGGAAATAAAGATAAAGCTAAGAAATAGGATCCATATATTTCCGTGATGACGGAGAGTATATTAGATTGCAGTTGTTTTTAAGTCAGGCAGGCAAACATATAGAGGTAACATTTAGATTAAGACGTGATATGGAACATTTTCATCATGTCTTAAATCAGGGGTTTTAAAAAAAGGGGTCTGGAGACCCCCAGTGTGTCTGTGTAAAAGTTTAGAGGGTAAAAAAAAAAAAAGATTAAACTAACTAACTAACTATAGTATACCGCTTTACATAAATATAAATTTGTTAAAATAAACAAAATGATAAAAATGATTAATATAAGAACATTCAAAATAATGAAAATGTATTAAAAACAAATGAATAAATAATAAAAATAGATTTAAATAAATAAATAAATAAATAAAATGATTAAAATAAAGAAATTAATAAATAATACAAATTTATTAAATAAAGAAATTGATTAAAATTAAGAAATTAAAAAAAAGAAATCCAAAAAGAAATCAATCCATCTGACAGAGTTCAGTACTAAAGTAGAAAAAAACTAATAATGCAATGAAATAGAAACTGTTATTATTGTTCCCCCTGTTTACAATGAGCATTTTTTACAGTTGAGAATGTGGGGTTCAGTGGCATCTAAAAGACTGAAAACCCCTTCCCATGTGACAAAATAATAAGGCATCTAAAAATATATTTGAAGTCACTAAACACAAATGTGCCACTTTTGCACACAGTATTTCAATGCAAAAAAGAAAGAGTGTTTCTGTCAGAGAAAGCAGAAAGTCAGCTCATAAACATAACAGAAATATATATAGAAAAATAAATAAAACAAATAAAAATGAATAAATATGGATGAGAGTACTAAGCAATGGGGACCAGAGCAGTTTTGTTATGGGTTCAAATGAGTTGGATGTACTCCGAGGCCCCCCTCGTCACAGGTCCCGGGACGATTACTGTGTGAGAGAGTTCAGGGATTTGGAATCGAAACAATAGTTTAGAATGACATGGCATTGCTTTTCAGAACTAAGCAATTCAGAAGAGATCTGTCCAAACACCATCCACATTTTACATGATCGGTTTGAAGTCAGGCACATGACTGGCCCAGAAAATGAGCAAGCGCTCTCGATGCAAACCTGTGCTACCCATCTGTGCTTTTATTTCAATCTCGCCATGCATGACTGTCATATTTCAGGCTGCCTGTATGCCAAGAAGAGAGGGAGCATTAAGAAGGAAGATTGAAAGCTGTGCAACCACCTATAGGGACAGTCATCATAACTTTATCAGGTGGCCATAAATCGTCTACGCCACATCCATGCCAAGTGTCTTGGCTTTGACTTTCAAATGAGGGCTGTCTATCACTCACAATGTTCACAATAGATCATCATGTGACAGTCTCCCAGCAGGCAGAGTGATGCGATTGTCTCCTACTGCATCTAAACTGTACCTGCAGTGATTGTTTACTGATCAGTACTGCCATGTATTCAGAGCATGATCTTCTGAACCATTCTCTTTCCGTCTCTCGGTACACCCCCATGCTCGAGTAGACTAGTGTACCGTTATAATGCTGTGTTGGTAACACTGGCATTGCAGACATTTGTAATCTTTGTAGTAACAATTTATGCCACCCTATAAAGTATTTAATTCATCCAATGGTCATCCAAAACTGAACATAACAGATTGGTTGCCAAAGTGGCTCATCGACTGCAACAATGACTAAATGAAATTAGAGTTTTTTTTTACAAAATTAACAGCTATTTTTGAAGCGAAAATAAAATATAAAATAAGTGTTAAATATAAAATAAGTGTAAGAATAATAATAATAATAATAATAAAGTTAAATAAAAAAATAAAAAAATAATAAAATAAATTAAATTAAATTAGCTGCTGTGTATAGTGTGAAGCTTTTTGGCCAGAAATCAATGTGAAAAAAAAAAGGTCTGGCTATAAAAGACAAGCTTAAAGGCACACTGTGGAACTTTTCAACCTTTATAATATATTACCAAAACCCATTGAGATGGTACATCGACTTACAATAGGTTGAATGACACGTCTGCCGAAGCCTGAAGGTGTCTGTATCGCTTTTACTAGCACTATGTAACTTCGGGTTTCGGGTAGGAACCCGAGCACAAAAAGAACTACAAAATTCGACCGCTTTACGGCATACGTCACTTCCCCCACCACCCCAACTTCCTCATATTCTAACGTGAGAGCTCAACTCGCGTTTGATTGCCGGCGTCTGTATGTTGTCGTCATGACTGAATCAACAGCTACTCGGAAGAAAGCGAAGAAAGCAAAGATTTTGTCAGAGGAGACCAAAAAAAGAAAAAGGGAGAGTTTAAAATAAACATCGGCATAAAAGTGTATATATAATGTAATATTTACTGCGAATTCGTGTAACAAAACTGATATAAGTCACAACATACTGCCGTATACAAATGTAAATGTTTTTTTTTTCCTTTCAGCTCATATGTTTGTATTTGTGTAAAAGGAAAAACAAACTGAAGACTACAAAAACGGAAATATGTAGTGAGTTATATCAGTTTTGTTACACGATTTCCCGACTACTCGATTTCATCTCCAACCCATTGCAAAGAGATCCTGAAGACGTTAATTGTTTGCTTCAGGTGTGTTTGATTAGGGTTGGAGATGAACTGTGCAGGACAGACGATCGGCAGGAGCAGGATTGGGCAACCCTTGTCAATGCGACTTACCTCAGACATTGTTTTCTGCGTATGCTACTTTTATTCAATTTGTTTTCTTTATAGGATTTATATTATTAATCTTATATTTATATTATTATTTTGGTCAGTAGTGAATCGATTAACTTTCTCCAACATACAAATCAAATGCCGTCTGCACACACATAAAGACACGGGAGGTTGACCGGTTGACTGTTTGTTGACTTTTGCGACAATGCTGCGGCGCTTGTGGCCTCTAGGGGCACTAGACGTGAAAATTACAGGTCGAGCGCACCCTAGTGGCCAAAAATTCCACAGTGTGCCTTTAAAGGGTTAGTTCGCCCATTTAAGACATGAAGTTGTATGCAATCCTTACCAGCACTATAGTGCATACACACTGACCCACTCTGTTGTCACCTCCCTGGTCAGAGTTCTGGCCGCTGGAAGTTTTTTCAATAAAGTACTCTCGGTTATTTTCCGGGGCCACAAAACTGTGCGTTTTTACGTGAAAAAATGATTTGCGTTTCAAAGCTTGATTAATTTACCACACAAAAAACACGCCGGTCAAAATTCATACCTCAGTTTTAATCGGCACTACTCAACGCCAACAGTGCGCACGTTCCGATCAGCTGTCCCATAGTTTTACACAAATGATTGACAACGACGTAAAAAGTATTAAATTAACAATGGTGCGAACTTGTAAATTCCCAGGCTGTGACCACAAGGATGTGCCGGGATCAAAGTTCAGATTCCATCGTTTTCCTGTTTCGAATGTAACTATGAGACAGCTTTGGCTGGTTGCCATCGGCTACTCTGCGGGAGCTAAAATATCCAGAATAAAGGATTTTCGTGTGTGTAGTGCTCACTTCAGCGAAGACGATTACATCCCCAACCAAGGAGGAAAAGGAAAATTAAAGAGTTTTGCTGTACCAGTACCACGGGTAAGCTCTATGTACTAACTTTATAAAGTTAGTAAATGATCATAAATGATCATTTGATCATAAATGATCCCATATCTAAACTGTACGGTAAACAAGCTGATGTTTAGACTCCATTATAAAACACGTGAAAAGATGTCTAATATAAAAACAGTATATAGGGATTTTGGTACAATTTGCTGAGAAAACTATTTGATTGAACACACACACAATTGAGGTTTTGTGTTGCAATCAATAACATTGTCGTTGTGCTAAAATTGGTTTCATCATCAGAAGTTTCGCAGTCAGACATGTTGTCAGCGAGTCGCACTATCAACAGCTGATCGGAACGTGCGCACTGTTGATGTTGACAGCAGCGCGGATTGATAGAAATGGATAGAAAATAGTGCCGATTAAAACTGAGGTATGAATTTTGACCGGCGTGTTTTTTGTGTGGTAAATTAATCAAGCTTTGAAACGCAATTCATTTTTTCACGTAAAAACGCACAGTTTTGTGGCCCGGGAAAATAACCGAGAGTACTTTATTGAAAAACTTCCAGCGGCCAGAACTCTGACCAGGGAGGTGACAACAGAGTGGGTCAGTGTGTATGCACTATAGTGCTGGTAAGGATTGCATACAATTTCATGTCTTAAATGGGCAAACTAACCCTTTAACGCCAACAAGTCAAAATTGTAATTGTTGTAACTGACTTCATGATATATTATGCATCCCTGCTTTTATGCTCCCATATTTAAAGCAGTGTTGCGGACATTACATTTTCTTTTACTTCATTAGTTCTTCTTGTCCTGCACCTGTCAGAAGGTGGGATGTGCACACAATTACTCTTTTGATTATATTATGCATCCCACACAGATTTCAATCACATTTACATCAGGGGGACGTGGAAAGAGCAGTTCTTGAGAATTCATATAAATAAACAAAGGGCAAAAAAAAGAAAAGGAATTAGACAACATCTCCACTTCCTCAGGGGGCTAAAACAACTGGCCTACGTCTTGACCATGATTTCCATTACACGAGAGTAGATGTTAAAACTTCATGCTGATTGGTACTCGGCTTTCGCCAAGATAAGCAACACTAAGACGTAGCTTTACAGTAAACTATGCTTCTCCATCCATTTATGCTTCTTTCCACGTGGTGGTGTGACTCCCCT